GTCACTTTCAGGAGAAAAATACGCAACTCAATGGTTTTTTCTTTCCCTTGTAAAGCACGATGAACTAAATGGAGTTTCTCATTTTTCTTGCGACAGCGACAATGAATGAAGACTTTTTATAAGCATCATTCCTCAATCACCGAAATCATTTTTTGAAGTTTTAACAATTAAAGAAAAAGACAGGACCCAGATCAGAACCAAGACTTATATATTTATTATTTTCAATTGAAAGCTAGGAAGGAAATAATGAAACAAAGTGAAATCATCCTGCAGGATGCAGCTTGGTGTCTTCATTCAAATTTGACAAATAACAGCTTTATCTGGACACTGACGAGGGCTATTGTGACAGGAGACTGCCGATTCCTGTCTCCTAAGTAGAGATTGTATAAAGAACAACTTCCCATTATAATTGTTATCTAGACAAAGAAAAAATACCAATTCAAAGGTTGGGAACACACTATGTCATTCACCAAATTCATTTATATTTCTGAATTGAAAACAACACACAAGAATGCACACGAATGTGGTTTCCAACTTTTCATCTAATATTGAAATTATATCTCTCCGTGTAAAACATTTCTCTCATTTTCTCCACATAAGTAGTAACAGCTCCAAATTCTCCTTTCCACTAATGAAGGCTTCATTGTGACAAAACAGGCAGTCTCTACTAACGTTTGAAGTTGCACTCTTTTCACTTTAGATCTTAAGTGGGATTTTTTAAACTTCACTAACTTACTTTCATCCAATGCTTGATTTTGTGACCTAAAGCGACATTCACAATTCCGCACCAATGCAACCTGATGCGACATTGCTGTCTCCATACTAATGCCACGTGAATAAGCCCTATTGTGAAAACCCGTATCTTCTTGTGGTGAACTTCTTAGCTGCAGTTAGTAAAGATTGGGTTAATATGTCGCAGAATGCATTGTGTAAATGACTTTTTAACCACTTCATTTCAGTTTTTTTCTTTAATTAAATGTATGCAAATATGAATCAAATCATCAGTTTTCTCTTTGTTTTTCTTTATTTCGATAAAACGTGAGGCAGCGTTGTGTAATCAGACGCTTATCAAAATAACGAAATCGGAAAAACAGGCATTTTTCCGCCAGTTTGGAAATTTTCATCGAATTTTCATTTTTTGGCTTAACCTCTTTATTGCAAATATAAAAACCCATTTCCATGTGAATTTTACTGACACACATTGATTACAGGCACAAAGTACGTCATTTTCAGTTTTCAAAGACTTTTTAGCTATTGGAGTTACCAAACTTTGGTGGCCATTTTCTTGCTAATTTCACCACTGAAACAAAGCGACCTCACTTACTTCAATTACAAATATCTTGAGTTCTATTCAAAATAAATGGACATTTATTTCATTGGAAGGAAGGCAAATAAATTAGCTTTCAGATGATACCAATAACTCCACATGCCCAAAAATTGACGAGCGCCTGATTCCACCGCGTCGTGACACAAATGTGTTTTGTCTCAACAAATCTTTTCATATTATTATGCCTCATGGCATTAGAAACATCCGCATAGAATAGAGGCAGTGCATATTAATACTACATAAAACATCAATCATCAGCAAGTTCATACATCATGTTATTGTGACAACAAATGGATCCAGTAAAACTGAAGATGAATATCACAGGCATATATGAAGGCTTTATGACATCAGGAACTGTTTCATCTTCACATCCCTCTCATTACAGAGTGGCTTCTTTCTATAATTTGACATAAAAACTAAAACCGACCATGACACCAGCATCTGTGATGTAGCCATTAGATATTTCGCTGTCACACACAGGAGAGGCGAGTTCAATCCCCGGGTGGGGAAAATTTTGTATCAAGTATTTTGGTCTTTTTGTTTAGATGTTGTATCCCTCTCAACTTTGACAGGCAGGGTTAGAAACCGGCCTCCTAAATTATCTAACTTGTGTTGAAGGGGGCGTTAAAAAAAACACTTTTCTTTTCTTTAAATTTGCTTTTCTGACCACAACAAAACAGGCATAACCCATCTCTCACAAAACAGATCTACCCATTACACTTCATGATTCAGAGCACCAGTACTCCAAATTCTGTAAATCCCGTAAATAATTTCTTTGTGAAGCTACAAATCATACTTTAACAGCTAGAGTTGAAAGCTTCTCACCACCGTATACTGAAAGTTGTAAGCATTAAAGAATATATTTGTTTCAACTATTTCTTTACACGAGCAATTGAAACGAAGCCCCGACAACTACCGCCACCCTGTAAATTGAAGGACATGAATAGACAGAAGTTTCATAACGCAAGATCTGGTAAATATCTCAAGATGAAGAAATGTTTCTAGTCAAATTTGTCTTGTCGCAAGCATGACCTTCCAAGAAGTGAGGGGGGGCTCAGTCACAATCAGGGTCAAGCAGCAAGAGGTCTCGTCTCCCCTGGACAGCTCCCCTTTGTTGGTAAGGTTTGGGTTCAACGCCCTTTTCAAACACTGGAAGGTCATGCAAGAGGCAGAATCTCCGAGCCAACATTCCTTACAGGGGCAGTCACCAGGAGAGATTTCAGTTTTTTCAGGAGAATATGTAAGCATTTGAGATAAGAGTAATACACATACTACACAGTCTATAAAACTATTTAGGAAAAGGTGCTGTTATTTCATGATACTTCAGAGCCGAGGCAACCATTGCTTAAACCATGACAACAATCATCAGACTTTTCTACTATTTAGGCCAAGTTTGTTTGCCCTTGCTGTCGCAAAACTTTTGTTCATCCCCAATATTACAAGGCCCAGCAGTGCCGCTGACCACTCCCTATATAATCAGAAGAAAGACTTATGGACTGCCTCTTGTACTCTTCCCTTTAGCTCTGCACTTTAGCATAGCTCACAATAAATATTTACAAACTATGTACATGGAGCAACAATAATATTTACATCATTCCGTGACTGGCATTCAGCGTAGGGTGAGGGTGAAAGACACAGAACAACACAAGTGCTGACAATGTGGCAGAAACCACAGAATAAGACTGATGAAAACAACTTATACAGGCCCTCAGTCAATATCGGGCACTTATTCCATAAGTAAGTAAGCTGTGAATCTCCTGTCAAAATTGTCAACATTATTCACGTGAATGAGATCTTCATCTCGTGTCAATTTCAAATGCATTATTTACACATAAAAGAGCTCAGTGCTTTGTGTATTTTTAGCCCGTCCAGACATTTTACGACGCTGAGATAGAACCTGCAATATTGCTCGGAAAAGTTACATCTAGGTTAAAAAAAGAAAGAATAATTCCCTCCTCTCTTCATTTATTTATAAACAGTTACTATTCTTTCTCAAAACATTAGAAATATGAAATCTAGATGCAAACATGTTCTTGTATTTCATAAGGGACATGGCAGGCTTCTTTTCAACGAACAAAAGTCAGACAGATTTTACTGGTTCCATGAATTGTGGCCCCTAAAACATGATAGATTTATTGATAACCATCTCTGCTTCTGACAATATAATGGGTGTTGTATTTCTCCACGTTGTTCAGTTATAACAGCAGAGAGATCATTTAAGCAGTTGTCAATTATTTTCTACAGCTGACACAGACTACTAAAAGACCACTACATTGTGAGTAAGCCGCAATTTAAAAAAAATCAGGTGTCTTTCAATTACATTTTTCATCTCAATAAGCATCAAGGGGGAAAAAAAGGTGTTCAGTTCAATGTGTTAAGTATGAAAGTGATCACCATTCACATATAAAAGTCCTCACAAATTAGCAATATTATAATATGTCACACAATATCTTGAAATGTCTTGATTAATAAAATGTCACAAAGAAATTGATAGAGACAATTCTCCACACATCAAAAACTAAACCAAGAAGTAACAGGAAACAGAAGAGAGGACTGGGCGGAAACACTACTCTACATATGAAGTGCATGCGATGGAACATGGGCATAGTCATGGGCCAGTATATCAGATCATAAACGTCTCACTAACTTGGTTACCCGAGCTTCTCGTATAGACATGGGCTATTGGTAAACAAAAACATAGGCCTACAACTTAAAATTTAAAGTAATAAGTAGAATGGAAACTGAAGGGTATAATTCTTCACACACGCTGATCTTATCTCGAAACCACAAAGTATAAGTAGCGTTGAAAACAAAGGGGATAATCCTTAACAAACTGATTTATTTAATAAAAAAATAAATTATAAAGCAATAACCATAAATAAATCATTACCACTTGTCTTTGGACGTCTTTTGGCATTACATGACATCATGTACAAAAATATACAAAACAATCGATGCAGTAGAAGGTCAAACCAGTAACTATGAAGGAATGTTGGTAAACTCCCCATTGTCATGGGTGCATGGGCAAAATTAAATGTTTCAAATCCTTTCAAACAAAGATGAAAATTTGAAACTAAAGTGATACTATAGACATCATGATTCAGCTTCCAGCGCCAATCATTTCAAATGTCTGTCTCTTTAACAATCATACAACTACAGTCTAGCATGCACATATAGTGAACGCAAACTTCACATTGTAAAACATGTCCACAGCAAACAGATTTTCTTGTCCTGAATTTTTTTCTTATGCGTGTACATGTAAATATTCTCTGTATTTAAAGCACATACATAGCAAAAGTTACATATAAGAAAAAGATTTCTGCGTCTTTACCATCTCGATACGTGCCTGCTAAACTGTAGGTATGCATGATTGTTATTAGGAATGAACTCTTCTTCAAAAGAGTTACATACACAAATCACAAAACTTTGGAATGTAAAGGGTTAAAGAGGAAACCTGGGGTGAGGCAGAGTAAGCAAGGGTCCTCAGCATCATCCCACAATAGCACACAAGTCAGTTTCTGGGGGTTTCCAGATAAAGTCTCTATTTAAATAAAGACAGCAAGAGTCATCTCACAATATCATTTCCTTTTGTTTCATTATATCCTTCCCAGATTTTAGTTGAAAAATGACGAGTGCCCCAAGTCATTATTGTTCTGATTTGGGGTTTCTCTTCTTTTTTTTTTTTGTTCCATTTTCTCAAAGCTTAAAAAAAATGACTTCGGGGATTGAAGGATGATGCTGACGAGATATACATGAAGAGAAAAAGAGCAAAGCAGCAAAGATATTTTACATACCTTCGAATACATTTCAAATATCTCAACACAAAATACCTTTGAAACATGTATTTCATTTAGCAAACAGATGCAACTTGTTTCCCATGTATAAAATATGAAGCATACCTGGAACAACAACTTACAAGATGGAATGTGAGCAATCAATTTTCATATTTAACAAGGCCACTGCTGTAAACAACCCATGAAACTTTCCATTTAGTACCAGTAATACACTTTTTTCTAGGTATCATTTCACGTTCTGGAATATCAAAAAATCTCAATACACTAAAAATGGACCAATATATTATAAATTGACAAATTATTGTCACTTTCCTTTTTTTTTCTTTTCTTGGGTAGAGATTCAGGATTTTATGTGAATTTGACACAAAGATTGTCATGAATGAGAATTGACATTGTATTACAGAACTGAGGCGACTGAAGAAACATTTAAATATAGACCGACTGATCACAAAAAACATCAGCATAGATCTGGAAAGCTGCAATAAAGGTGCATGACACGTATTTCTTTCCCATCCATGTATTGTACAGTTCCTATCAGATGACAGTTTGGACAACACAAACATAGACCGCAGAAGGCACAGACAAAGCAGCAATGGGTCAAAGGGGTCAACTGATAAAGGGACAGTACCAAAACTACCTACACTTTGACTTGGTAGTCGGGGAAGGGATGGGGGAGGGGGAAATTGAGGCAAGATAGGGGTCAAATGTAGATCTAGATTTTCATAAAAATACGAAATATTGAATTTTCCTCCAAAATGAAAGTTTTGGGGGGGTTTTTTAAACTGCGTAGTGCAGTAGTCCATTTAGCACATGAGCTATGAATGATCTTGTGAGAATGACCTTTCCATATCTTGAGTATCTTTGAAACACTTACAGCAACTTTCTTAATAAATTAACAAAGACACAGCATATCATGTAGCAATATTTAAAGCTGAAGCTATCTGTAAATCATGAATTATTTCCAAACTCGTTTAAAATGGGAAAATTAAATATCATCAGTACCTTGTTCAGACTTTCTTAAAATACCATCTTGATCTGAGCAGTCGTACTATGTTTCTACAGACTGTGCTGACTGTAATGTACCCGTTGTTTCCACAATATCAAACCAAAATGGACGGGAAGCAAACAGGTAGCATCATGGTGAAGCAAAGGTGATAGCAGTAGCATGAAAGGGAGTGTTATGACACGCTGAGAAACAAATAACCTACATAAAACATACGTCCCAAAAATTAAACAAATCTTTATAATCCCTGTTTTTGATACTTTACAAAACTTCTTTTGAAATACTGTCAGACTTGTTCTAACGACCACTTGTCCCTGACAATTGCCTCCTCAAAAGACCTCTTCCCATTTTCCCACCTTGTGGTTTCTTTTTGGTATATTATAATGACACTGTTCAAGATGTCCACATGTCTAAGACAACTGCTTTCTCTTCACCAAAGGGTGGCCGTCTTGGACAATTTTGACTGCACACGTATTGCCCCCATCTTCCCCAAGACTTTTAAAACCCTGGCAGAAACCTGTCAAATGAGTGTTCGTGTCTTAGGAATGAATGTATATTATATATATTTATATGTGTGTGTGTGTGTGTGTGTGTGTCTATGTAAGTTCAGAACTGGTGGTAAATTCTGCTGTGGTAGACATCAAAATAACACAGATTGAGCTGTAGCCAGAACATTGCTAGAAAATGAAAGACCTGTCAATGTGTTCTTGAAACAACGAGGCTTGCCCACTCACAGGCCACATCAAGATATCAAGATGACAGCCCGACAGATACCTCAGTCATTGGCTTTGGACTAAAGAATGCCTACATGTGCACCGATCCCAACATACAGTTATAGTATGTAATTCTTGAGAATTTATTTCCCTTTTTACAGAAAGAATCTCCTTGGTAATTTTATATTTATGTACAAAGACATCGAAAGTAACCTTCCCACTACTTTTTTTTAAAGCTAAAGCATATTATGTACATCAGTGTGCAAAAGCTAAAGATGAAAAAAGATTTCCCCTTAAGATATATATATACATCCGTCACCACAGAGAAGAAGAAATGATGTGAAAGCAGAGACAGAGACACATACAACAACAAAGAGTGGACATCCACATCTGGAGCCAATTCTGGTCAATGCGCCTGGCAGCAAAACATTTTTACATGTGTGAAGCAAAAAAAAAACAACAAAAAAAACAAAAGCCTCATATGGGATATGAACATTAAACTATAACCTTACAGATTCCATTACAGTTGGCGAAGGCTCATTCTGAAAAATAGAGCAAAAAGTCTGGATTTAAATACATGAGCACAAACAACTCGCTTTGGGATGCACTGGCGAATTTTCTCACAGTTATAAGATAAAACAAAATAAAACAGCGTCTTGATTTTACAGTTTTTACAGATTAATTAAGGTTCCGTCTTGCAAGCCTCATCAACATGGTGACCTCATGGGAGGAAACAGACAGGTCCCTTGTGGTTTGAGATTAAAACATTTTATAAACCACGATAACAACTTATAACAACCCTATAAAACAGACTCATATTATACCTATAGGCCTACATATAATATATTTATGTGAGTGCATGTGTGTGTGTGTGTATGTGTGTGTGTGTGTGTGTGTGTGTGTGTGTGTGTGTGTGTGTGTGTGTGTGTGTGTGTGTGTGTGTGTGTGTGTGTGTGTGTGTGTAACTTGATAAAAACTATTTCGGTTGAATAACAATCCAACAATGATATGAAAAGTCCAATGACTGATTTACATGTGATGGGACTTGAAAATTTACAATAATAATGTATAATCAACACACTTAACCAAGAGAATTATTCAACAAACATAAATCAATAAGTTAAAATCAGATCGACAGTTATTCCAACAACTGAGTCAAAACACCAACCAGCACAGCCCACTGAAGTCCTTGGTCAAAAAACAAAGAGTGGAACTGTAGGGCCTAAGCATTCAACAGTTTTCCATCCTGACAAAGAACACGCACAAGATGACCAGAGATATCTTACAACACACAGATTGACACTCTGACCTCTGAGCTCACAAGCCTGAATATATTATACTAATTCCCCTTGGTTCCTGATTTATGGGCCTTGGCGGACGGCTGGGTTCGAGGTAATAGTGGAGTACTGATATATCCCATCCGGTATTGTGGGCACACAGACCTACCTATGGCTGTCCCTGTGGTTTTATGCACCCCGCATAATTTAGCAAAATTTGATCATTTTTTGCATAATTTCGATTATTTTCCTTTATCATTCTTTGTTAAAATTAACTGAATTGCATAATTTCACATTTTTGGGCTCAGTTTGCATAATTTCATAAATTTTCTCGCATAAAACGACGGGGACAGCTATGGCCCAGACCGGAATATCATTCTTTGGGGTTCAAAGGTTGACGATAACAATTGTACAACACCCATTGATTGCTATCGCTATGAGATATCACAGGAAGAGTACATAAATCTCATCAAAATACTGAGTTAAATCAATCTACACAGATTTAAATCATGACACAATAAATACATGTAATACTGTGTCAGATCCATAAACACAGATTTAAATCATGAAACAACAAATACATGTTATCACAGACAAGACCTCTACCCCCACAAGGCACAATTAAATCTTCGCATTTAATTACAACTCTCCTCTATCTTTTAGTGGGCACGGCAAGCTGTGTGATCTATGGATAAGCTATTTCTGGGCATAGACCTCACGAGGGTAACTGTCACAAGGGAAAGCACATACCCTTTCATAAACCGTTGAAATCTTGTAAAGACACCAAGTCTTACCCCGAACATTTATATACTTGAAATACATTTCTTACTTACAGCGCCTTCACGTGCTCTGCAAATTGCAAAATTATTCATCTCTTTGCACTCAAATTATACATACAAGGTCAACACAAGGAGAAAGTTAACTATCACAAATTAAGATTTCTACCTTCTGATATATTGCCTATGACGAAAGTAATGAAAGACTTGACAAGGGAAACCTACCGACACTCAACCTTCTGTCAGTTTAGAAATTCGAAACGGGGAAATGAAGGATGGTGGCTTTCAATAGGGGGGCCATGGGGAAGGGGTGGAAGGGTGGGGGTGGGGGAGTAATAAGTCTTGTTGAAATCAACTTTTGCATTTAGAGACTATGGCTTTCTAGAGAAAAGAAACACGTTAGGGAGAGAAATATTTCAACCAAACTCTAAGTCAGTTGAGCACGTCAGGTACCCCAAAGAGTGAGATAAGAGAGCAACAAAACTTTTCCTTAATCAGAAGCAGAACTTTGAAATTCAGCGACATTTTCTTTCCTCAAGGTCTACCCTTCTCTACAAGTGTGCCTACACTGATCCATATTTTTTTCTTCCAACAAGAGCAATGATGATGGAAGGTAACAACAATGCGATTAGAACTTCCCCAAAAAAGGAGAAATGAACGTAGGAAGTATGTCAAAAGGAAGACGAAACCAAACAACTTAGGAAAATAAAATCGTTAAATAAAAGTTACCATTGAGAAACAAAAAATTCAGAGGAAACCTTTAACACAACAAAAAATGTTTGGAGACAGGGAGATAAAAGATGTCCAACACAACAATGGCATTTTACAAGTATAAGAAAAAGGTGTGAGACAAATCTAGTGGCAGGACAAAGGTTGGAAGGGGTTGAGGCAAGATGTACTTATCCCGATCCCCACTGCCCACTAGCCCACATCAAAAGTGGGGGGTAGAAGACCCAACTCAACAACACATTCTCTTTTACAAGAGGACACGATCCCTTTTGACTTATAGTATATAACACGGATAGGTCGAACACAGAAGACTCTAAATCACTCATTCGTCAAACTGTGCCTGCGGTCCCGGGTTTTTTTTTAGCTTCTTTATCTTTAGAAGATATCCCTCGAACTACAGATCGCTTTAACTACCAAGGCCAGTCCCGACAAATGCAAGCTATACACGTTATACTGTATACATATGACATGTGCCCCTTCTGCTCAACAGTGAGAAATATTTACACATAAAGATCAGGAGGTCAACACAGGCCTGTAAAGGGACAACACACACGAGGGACACAGAATGAGTAAAGATTTAAACCACGGATACATTTGAGAGTTCTGCAGAAGCTCCTCCCTTGCCCTGGATATGTGTGTGGCTGTGTCGACTTCCGGGCCGGATCAGCTCCACTGTGCTGCCGGAGATACTTTGCTCATCAAACTCGGACGGGATCCCAGTACTCACAGAGTCTGTCAGGGCAGAAAAAAAGACAACGTTCATTTTGTTCGATTTAGTAAAGAGAAACACATCAATATAATAATGGTCATTTACTGCTGGGAAAAAGTAAGACACAGACAAAGACAACAGAGGGAAAGTAAAGAAGTAGGACCTACCAATGGCACCCTCCAATCACCCACAAGAAAGACATTTTAAGATCAAAAGAACACGATGACATTCAGACAAATGAACAGCCAGTAACATTTTGTTCACCCTGTGAAGCTCACAGAATCTGTCAGGGCAGAAAAAGACACCGTAAGAACATAAGAACATGATGACATGTTTCAGTCATACCCTTGTTATCAACAAGACAAAAGAACAACCACAAAATATTCTGTTCACCCTGTGAAGCTCACAGAATCTGTCAGGAGGGAGAAATAAGACATCGTAAGGACATGAGAATATGATGGCATTTAGACAAAAGAACAACCACTAAATATTCTGTTCACCCTGTGATGCTCACAGGATCTGTCAGGGCAGAAATAGGACACCATAAGGATAAGGACATAAACACATGATGGCATTTAGACAAATGAAAAGCCACTGAATATTTTGTTTACCCTGTAAAGCTTACACTTACAGAATCTGTCAGGGCAGAAATAGGAGACGGTAAGAGCATGTATAAATAGAGCAATCACTGTAAGGAGAATTGTTTCATGACATTTATCAGTCATATCATGGTTGTGACAACACAGATGAACAATTCCACAAATTTTTGTTTACCCTGTCAAGTTTACGGACCCTGCCAGAACAGATAAAGGACATCATCATAGATTCGTTTGTATTAGAAAGAGTTTTACAGCACTTGGCAACACAATAAGACCACATATGTGCTGAAGATTAGAGATGTTACAAGAGAGTAACCAACACAAAAAAGAAGGCGGAGAGATAAGGACAACAGATCTGTTTGATAGGAAAGGCGAAGAGCAGACCACACGGGAGCACCTGCCAACCACCCACATCATAGATTAATAAATTAGTAGATAAAACTAACTGTTAAAAAATGTTTTGTAGTAGCTTTTCGACCATATCGTCCCCGTCACCACATGAATAAGTAACTGCAATTTTTTTTGTTCATACAACAAAGCTCACAGAATCTGTCGGGGCAGAAAATGGACATCGTAAGACTTGGACAGAACTAAACAGAAAAGTTACTGTAGGGAGAACAATTTTATGACAACTTCTCTTCTCAGTCATATCATCGCTGTCACAAAAAAGATAAACATCTTCAAAAATTTTCGTTCATTCTATTAAGTAAGCAGGGTTGGGTCAAACAGAGTTCAGATTTTAAAGACTTTTACGCAAGTTAAACATTTTTCTAGGGACAATTAGGATTCTATTACGTTACATCCAAACTCTAGTCTTGTCTCATGACATTTAGGCTAGAATGCTATACCGTGTATCCAAGCGCTTGCCTTTTATTAGGTAAATTTACACCAACAGCAGCTGAAGAACTCTTGTAAGAAAGAGAATCAACATCTTCTCTCTTATGGGCAAGAAAGGTTGACAATCAAAACATGTAGGTAAACATTGTCACAGGAACAGAGAGCAACGTAGAACGACAAGACCTTCTATTCCTTTTTATTAAGAAAGGTTTAGATATAGAGTCGAATCTGCTCTTATGGCTACCTGTCCAAGACAATCACCTGACTAAACAGCCATTTCCCATCTTTAACCCCCCCCCCCCCCCCCCCCCGAAATATTTTAAAGATAGCCTATTTTTGGACACTATCCAAGGCATCCACCTGACTCGACTAAGACAATCACTTTTTCCTCGATGGGAGAGCGTCATGGACATCCTTGACAGCTTATGTTTGCTGCTGATGGTGAACAAACACCCAACTGCCCATTTATAACCCACACATGCCTTTCCCACATCATGTTTAAGAAACAGTACTGGCACTATGACAACAAGCATAAAGTTACTTCAGAATATGAGTCAATTTTACAATGCCATAATTCACACACTTCAGTCCAACCTGCTGTGACAACCAACTGTACAAGACAATCACCGGTAAAAATGACCACCTCCCCCCCCCCCACCTTTGTTCTTTTTCTATGTCAGTGAATGGCATTTTCCAAGAGGACTGCCTGTCTAAGATGACAACTTATCTCCTCACTAATGGGTGGTCATCTCGGACACATTTGTGAGGCATCATGGTGAAATCAGGCACTCGTCAAAATAATGAAATTGAAGAAACAGGCATTTTTGCGCCAGTTTGGCAATTTTTATCCATTTTTGTTTTTCCACTCCACATTTTTTATGTCCATATAAAAACACATTTCCATGTGAATTTTACTGAAAAAGGTTGATTAAAGGCAAAAAATATGTGATTTTTCAGTTTTCAAGGACTCTGAAATTATTGAAGTTACCAAATTTTGGCAGCCATTTTCTCGTCAAGTGACCCTATCTCCTTCAATGGCAAATACATATCAAGAGAGATGAGTATTTTTTTTCAGTGAAAGCAAGGCAAATGAAAAAGCTATCAAATGCTACCAATATCTCCATATGCCCAAAAATGTACGAGCGCCTGATTCCACCGCGTCATGACACATGTTGGTACTTGATCAAGCAAGCAGCAGGAAGCAAATCCGGGCATAATACACATGGATAAGTTCACACTGGGATATACATGACTAAAATTGAGTCGATAGTGCTGTAAAACACCTACTCAATCAATCAACTCTACGATAAAGATATCCAAGTCAGAAAAGCAACTCAAACTACAAAGCCCCAACATTACAAGTATTAACTAGATGGACCCAACATCCTGCGAGCAAAAATGCGTTCCCATCCATGAGGCAGAGGCAATAGTGTCAAGCATATTATGTTGGTAACACAGCGTTTAGGTACGAGGGTGATCGCTAGAGGGTGTGTATTTGAGCCAAACTCAATAACTGTAGCTCAAGAACAGGCACAGCACAGAGGTGTTCAGCAATGGCGTGTTGATTATTTTCTGGGTTTTGGGTCATTGTTTTTTTAAATAGGGTGTTTACACCCCCATCAACACAATTTAGATCATTTAAGAGGTGGGCTTCCCACCCCGCCAACCTGGGCTGAAAGAGATACAACATCCTGGCAAAGAGACCGAGACACTAGGCTTTAGTCGAGATACCATACCTAATCAAAATTTCTCCCCACTCAAAAAATAAACAACTGTCTCCTGTGTGCAACAGCGAAGCGTTGATCCATTACAACACAGGTACCATTTGATTGTTTGTACATATATGTCATATTGTAAGTTATGTAACAAAGATCAACTTTTGTATTTATGTAGGCCTATGTATGTACGTTAGCATGAATGCTATTGAAACCAGATTTTCCCAAGTGGATCAGTTGTAGGGAACTATAATTATTTTACCTTTCATTTATTCTGAAGAGAAAGAGCATAGCATTTACCTCAATCAATGCATGCCACATAACAGAGAGACAGACAATAGTTCACAGGAAAGCCAAACACAGCCAGGGCAAGAAAAAGGAAGGGGGGGGGGGAGAGGAGAGTAAAAAAAGAAACCCAGTACACCAACCACACAAAGGACAAGACCAATAGCACCTTAGAAATTGTCTGTTGTGACTAATATAAATGAGGAATGCAAGGCCAATTTGAAATTTGAGTGGAGCGTAGAGATAAGACAACTGAAATATATATGTACAAACAATGACAGACAGATCGAGCACACGTCACACCATTATGCTGATTAATGCAAAACTTAATTAAGAAAGGCAGCAGGCAAAAAGGGTCCTATTATTTAACTTTAGTCAAAGTTTTACAGCAATTGGAACCCAAATATGTCATATAAGAGTCGAGGATTAGAGGTGTTACTAGAGAGTCACACACTAAGAAAAGAAAGAGGCAAGATAAAGACGATACATGTTTGACAGTGAAAGAAGTTTCTGTCGTTTCAGATAGTAAACACTTAACAAAAACGATAGAACTGCAGGCCTACAGATAAGCCACGGCATTACATCATATTAAATAATATGAAGGAAGGTAGCATACTGAACTTCTAAGGAAAACTGCTCGAGACACTTCAGTCATGGGTCAACACCTAGACGATCAGAGAACGTATAGGTCAACACGGACAAAGCCACAACTCCCACTATGTAAGATTACATAAAACCAGCACCGAGCAAACAAAGCAAACACAGGATGGGTCCTTCATGCTTTGGACAAAGTAGAAACAAAAATGGGTTTGCAAAATTTCCTACCACTCAGAGAGTTGAGCTACTGCATTCCCAGGTGACATTGTTTAGAGAATATACAAATACAGCTCTGCATATTTATAAGTTATCTGTTTTATAATTTTGTGATGTTGAATATGGCTCATGACAGTCTGTATAGTCCTACTTATGACTCAAAGGACATGCACTAAGCACTGAGTTAATAAAAAAACAAATCTCACAATACAAAATACCAAAAACCAAATGAAATATTTGCAAGACAAAACCGAGACCATAATTTGTAATCCCCCAAACATTATCAAGTCTAGGTAAACAACACAACTTATATAATTTCTACACTGAACCCTCATATCAGCCAGAAACCGTTCAAGATCCCCACTTTAATTGTACATCATTCTTTCCCACCATGTGACCCTCCTTCACCCAACCTGTACCTCGCACGCACAAATTAAAAAATGTTTTAAAGTTTATGTGTGACGTGTTCTGGTTGAGGAAAAAAAGAAATATGTGCGTGCAATTTCTACCAGCAAATCCATCCATGCATGTTCAAAAAGGACTCAGAAGAAAAAAGTAGTGTTTACCAGTTTACCCTCAAGCGAACAAGATCAGACCAACGGATCGGCTGCGTGATCAACTGCAGCGTGAGAGGACAAAAGAAGAGTATGTGTCAGCCTAGTGGTTATTGAGGAGTGTCCTTAGACAAAACTTACAGACTCAAAAACAAAGCGTTGCACTGAAGCCACCTGCGACTATGTATTCGTTTGTATGACCAAGTGGTTAGGCTACTACTGGACTGGTAATCGTGAGGTTGCGGGTTCGGGGGTTCGAGCCGCGGACCCAATGTTGCGTCATCGGGAAAGACACTTTACACAAATTTTCCTCACTTCACCCAAGTGGGAATGGCTACCCGGCCATAAACGGCGAAAGACCTTTTCAGTATGCTAGTGTTTTAGCGCCTATAAATAGCTGCTTGCACTGTATGCTTCCCAGGAAGTTGAGGTTGTTTCAGAATGCTCTCAGGTCTTCTGGGGTAATAGTATAGATTGTGAAGAGCAAAGAGCTAGCTGTTGAGTGGGGATTTGCGCTATTCAAATACTGTTTATCTATCTATTTACAAGGGCTGTTGCATGAATGCCATGACTCCGCATCAACTGCTTGCACATATTAGAAAACTTCTGAGAACTATGAATAAATAGGTCTTCTCCTTCTCTCTCTTTTTTTTTCTTAACTAAAATTTCAGAAATTCAAATGTATTGGAGAAGTAGGACAGATGGAGTGCAAAAAGTGTGCTGTTTGTTTGCAGTGAAGTGTACGTGAGAAAAATGGTTTTGAGAGTAACTACCAAAGGTTTAAACAAACGGCTCACAATACTGGAAAAAAAAAGTATAGGCGATTCTATAGTGCTTCTCAGAGAAAAGATAAACGTGTGAATATCTAGACCTACTGCAATTATTGTGATCACAGATTCAAGTAAAGTTTAATCAAGCAAACATTTTTGATGAATCAGGGACATAAAACAAGCCCCTGTGGTGCAGTAGGTTCTGAACTTGGTCAAAATGTAGAAGTTTAAGGTTTGAATTTGAACTGAGTTGGAAGGAAGAATCTAATAACTCCTCCTGAAGCAGGATTTACCTCCTAGCCCTGAGCCCTTTTACCAGACAAGAAGTTCTCCTTCAAGGTGAAATGCCCAGCCTGTTGCAGCACGTAAAACTAATCAAAACAATTAATAATAATAATTTTTTTTAAAATAATAATTATAATAATAATAATAAAATAGTAATAATAATAATAATAATAATAATAATAATAATAATAATAATACTAAAATAATAATAATAATAACAATAATAACAATAACAATAACAATAATAATAACAATAACAATAATAATAATAATAATAAAAATAGTACATCCGCCAATGTCTGACAATGACCAATGCATTTGCAGAGGAGAATTTTTTTTTTTTACGCGAGAAATAGAAGAAACAATTTATTAAGAAGACTTCTGGCTTCTGCTATAGCCAATGA